CAAAATTGAAATATGGGTCAAATTGTGGCCGCAATCTATTTTCCAGTTGGAATGATTTTTTAAAATTTATGTAGCGTTTTTCTTGGAAAGATCACAACAAAATCTACAAGTACTCAAATTTTTAGGTTTTTTCACGCATTCTTCTAAGCACGAAAACTCACTGAATTTGGAGTACTTTTTTAGTTGGCCCAAGCATGGCTAAGTGGCAAAAATGGAAAATGTGCTGAATCGGTGCGATGATTATTTCGCAGTTTAAATGATTTTTTGTAAATGTTCTATTATTATGTCTAGAAAGAACACGACCTCATTTATGGTTTCTCAAAATTTCATATTTTTGTGCATGTTCGTCTGAGTACAGAAAATCGTCAAAGCTGCCTCTTGCAAAACGTCTGTTTCGTTGTGCCTGACCTCCCTGTTTTGAGAAGACGGGGGCTCAACGCCTGGGCCTGAGAGCCCTTTTGCAGTTCACATGCCCTCACTTCTTTTTGGGGTCCGCTTCTACCCGAGGACCGGTCCAATGCCCCCCAATTCTTTTTGGGGTCCACTTCTACCCAAGGACCGGTCCTTCGTTTTTCCAAAAGTCCCGGTTCTACCAGAGCTAGCTGTAGGTAGTCCGCAGTTTGCCAAGGACCGGTCCCCCAAATTTTTTTGCCCCCTAAGAACCCACTTTGCGTCCTGGTCGCCCGCCGCCTAAAATGCGACACCTTGACACAGACGCAGAAGCCCACTATACCGCAGCCTAAGGACTGCGAATTGTTTACGGCGTGGGTGCGGGGAATGCAGCCCTAAGGTAGCCAAATCAATAGGACTAAGAGCATGCACAAGAAAGAGAGAGAGAGGAAAAAAAAAAGTTTTGTTCCATTTATTGTTACGAGTGTGAGAGAGAAAAAAAAAACAAAAAAGATATATAGAGAGAGGGGCGGATGGGCTACCAGAGAGATAGAGAGAGGGAGAGGGGGGCTACCACAGAGAGAGAGAGAGAGAGAGAGAGAGAGAGAGAGAGAGAGAGAGAGAGAGAGAGAGAGAGAGAGAGAGAGAGAGAGAGAGAGAGAGA